ACACACAGACAGTACATTGCTAGAAGATGTATGAGGCAATGTGGGCCTCTGGTGGGAAACAGGTAACTATGCTGATTTGTAACTGTGCTGCTCAGTCTCAGCCCTCTAAGGATGATTAGATGATGCTATGAAATATAGTTAACAGGTTTTGCTTCCTATCTTCAATACTAGGTTATTTGTAAGTATTTTTTCATGTTTCTGGTTTTATTGTTAGTATTCCCTTATGTTTCTGTTTTTCTGACCAATTTTTGCATTAGTTTCCCATCATCCACATACCTCAATAATATCCTTAAAACTACTCGTGCCTATAACATGACACATTTTTGAGCATTCTGGGGAACAAAATCTCACCTAATGAAAAGACATAGGCAAATTTTCAATCTGTTGCCAGCATTCACGCAAACTGAAATGGTCTTTACCATCTTCTCTTCCATTTGCCCATGGCCTGGGTACAGGTTGAGTTGATGTGTGGATGCTGTGTGTTTCCCAGCCTCAGACAGGAGTAGCAGGATTCACTTAGAATCCATTATTAGTCATTTAAAGTGCCAGTCCTTTGGCAGTAACTGTTACAGTTATCTCCCAAGTGTATCCATCTTAGGCAAGAGTGTGGTAGGTGGCCTTTTTCTCCCCCCAAATTTAGCAGACCACACACCATTTTTGAAGTTCCTCAAACACCTGAGGAAATCTTTTTGAATTAATGTGCAGCTAGGAAGCTGCAGTGATAATATTTTTAAAACAAAACCATAGCATTCTTTATTGTACAGTTCAGGAAGGACTTTATGAACTCACAGCTCAGCTACATATCAGCAACTGGAAGTGGTAACAGACACATTCAACAGCTTTTTACAAAAATCATATTCAAATAGTACCTCTTTAAAGGAGCTTAAGCTTACAGGGTTTGCCTGCCAGTCATGATAAGCTCGTACAGGTAATACTCTACTTTCATTCAGCTTTTCCCTAAGGATGACAGCAGCCCTTCAGCTAGGCACAGTATGTTAGCCATGGGTCTGTTCTTAAAGAAACAGAAAGGCTGACGGTGGGCCTGAGTTTCTGCTTTGGAGGGTTTTACCATACATTAGGGTTTAGTTCCGTTTCGATAAAGTACAGTGATAGTTATGTGACAAATCAGGTAGATGAACATGACAACAGCAAACATGCTTCACAGGGAATTACATAGGGGTGGGCTGCATTGTCACAGTCAAAACAGTCACAGTCACTTGTCAATGAACTTTGTCATTCACTTGTGCAGCTTCACAGATACAAGTTAGCATAGGTAAAGTTAGTGTCCTTGAAGTACACACAACTACCTATAGTCTAGATAATGATGGAGTACAATGAGGCAAACCTTATTATGACCACAAAACCAGAAACTGGCCTTGAAAGAAAATACAAGCTACACTTGCATTTAGTAACAGTAGGTTACGTACTTAAATACTAGAAAATGCATGAATTCTAAAGGCACTCATAACAGTATTTTGAAATAGAAGAAAATTTTCCTGAGCTATACCTCCTTCATCCTGCTGATCCAGTAGCTTGTTCTTCAGAACTACCAGAACAGAGAATAACAAGTAGTTTTACCTCACGGATGCCTCATTTTACCAGTCTTAGTAATGCAGTACTGTATTCATTGATACATCTGACTACCACTTCACAGCAGTTCCAAGAAGACTTTAGAAACTAACACTAGAAGATTAGTCACTTGGTCTAGGGAACAATGAAACTCCTCTTCGAATTCTGGTTGGTAGCACCTTGGTTTGCAGTCTACATTCACCAGACCAGAAGTACAGAATTAAGGTTACCTAACAGGAAATGGCAAAAGTTGCAAATGTGGTATTCTTGATATGAAATAACAGCTGCAATGTGTAGAACACAGGAGGAAATACATCCTGGTTCAAAACTATTGATCACAACAGAATCTGCAGGACTTATTTAGTAATTTTAACACCTGGTAATATCTGGTATAGAGTGAGCTTTCTCATTAAACTACTTTCTCGAAAAGCTTAATCTGTCTTCCCAAAAAAGACAGGCTGCTTCATTCAAAAATCCCCTAACTGCTTCTCCTCTTGTCCTTGACCTATTTAATCAGTCATTATGGTTTTGAACCTGTTCAGGAGCTTGATGAGATGAAATTCTGAAGACATGTATATGAAGATGAGCAGCAATCTGCAGGCATACACCAGTGGCATATCTCAGCATATCAAACAAGGATATGAACTTCAAAAAGAACAAAACAGAACAGGTTAAAAAAAGCCCAAACAATTTTTTTTTTTATAATTGTCCCTACTATAAATTCATCTCTACTTTAACCAATTTATCCAAGTGACAAGTTTAACAAGCATTTTAACATATAGATATAGTGGTCTATTTTAGAAGAAAAAAAAAAAAACACCACAACCCAAAAATCAAACAGCATTAAACATTTGAAGTCTGATGAACAAAGGTTGTTAGTCTGCAGTTAGCAGAGTGACCTGAACTAAGGCATAATTACAATTGAGATCTGTAAATTTACTTTCACATCTCTGTTCCAAGGAAAGGAAGCCAGCCAAACTCCCAATACGTCAGTTTACATGGTATCCTGGCACTCCCTCCACAGTGACAGCTGAAATCTGAGCAAGTTGGGAATGGCAGAGCAGAATGACAGAGGCAGTTCTCAATCCATTCCTTTAAGTGTGCTCCAAATGAAAAATATAGCACAAAATGCTTACCAATGCTATCCATAGAACAATATATTCATCAACAAAACTGTTGAAGTACTGGTCCAAAACCAGAAGTCCTGGCCCAATAAATGCAGTGTCCTGAAGACAGATTTCGCTTTTTGTCATATGAGCCACCTATGTTAAAAAAAAAAAAAAAAAAGTATTAAAAAGAGAGACAAAAACGCACCACTACAAAATCAATGTAACCACCAGGAAACCTCCACCTTAGTTAAGAAAGGGCACGATATCCTTACCCAGCTGACAGTTTCTTTCCCAAAGACTAAGTAACCTCTTTCCAGGTTATTCAATCAATATCTAACACTTTTATCAGTGATAACAGCTATTTCAATTATCAGTTGGCATTTTTTTACTTTATAAGAAATGCGTACATGTCCTTTGATGTTCTTGTGTAGTATGTTACACCTGTACCAGTGTGTTTTCGCTATTTGCAGGGGTCTCCACTCTTACTTTTTCAGTGCTGTATGGAAGCGTCTTACTGAAAATGAATTCTTAAGACTGAAACAAGATTCCTTACCACCAACTTCTGTGAGATTTTAGCATTCACAAATCCAAATGTCAAGACATAGAGGCAAGAATGCTTTTCAAACAGCTGAGTCGTAGACTTTTTATAGATCATAACAGCCAGTGTGATAAGTAGTCCGATGTGCAGGCCTGGTGAAAGAACACTTGTTCCCTGAAATACAAATGGACGGAAAATTTGTCTTAGGCTTCAGTCACACAGTAAGGTCCAGATTTTGTACGTATTGCAAATCCCATTAAATAAAACCAGAGCTGCCAAAACTCTGGGAGCCCATTAGCATTATGCAAATGCTGTTGGTATCCTTTGCAGTGGCCACTACTCCGTTTTGTAAGAAAATTCATTGCTGGTTCCAGTGACAGAAGAAATCCAGAAACAGGTAGAGAGAAGGTAGATAATGAAGTCTTTGCTTTAGCCATCCAACACTCATATGCTCATCTGCTTAAATGCTCAAACAGAGAAAACCCTTAGGATCATTTGAAATCCAATAAATTATAAGCATAAATTATTCAAACCTCATTCAGATTTTTAAAGCAACTTACTGCGATTGTAGATCCATTCTTTCCAACCCCTCCACCAAAGATGACACGGAAGTAATTGAAAAAAGAAAGTGCCGTTCCACACAGTATGCCAACAACTGCAAAGAACTTCAGTTCTAAGCCAACCAAAGGGACCTTAACAGAAGAAACAGGAGAAAGACATTAAAAGTCAACAATAACACCTTTCTTATAAAGCAATTAAAAAAGCTACTGATACTAAACAATTGTTTCATTTGAACTCTTGCTTTCCCGAGAACAAATTCAGGAAGCCAGTGTTTGGAATTTGTTTCCTTACTAAGGAGACAACAAGTTTCTTTCAGAACGTTTAAACTCGACTTTTGAGTACTTAAGTTTTGGTCTTGAAATTCAGCTAGATCTTACTGTGTTTGTCCTCACAATGTCCTTCAAATATATTTACTACACAAGCAAAAACTTGACACGGACTACTGCATCACCACGGCACGGGGCGGGGGGCAGAAAAAGGACAGTTCCTGCTATTTCACCGGGGAACACAATACTGAAGCACAGGAAACACAAACACCATCTGCCTGCTTTATGTTTTGGTACATATTATTTGTATGCTGTATCTTTGCATTTAGCGCAGTCTCCAGATACAAATTTTAATTAAACAATTACCTTTCAGAATCAATTGCAGTTTCAAGGAAACTTCCAAAGGCAGCAGAGGATTAAAAAAAAAAAAAAAAAGTAGCAATAAATTGAAACCATTGACTATATTTTTGAATATAGATTGTTCTGAGATACAGCATATCTACCACAGATTTTAATACTGAAGAAAAATCAATTAAAGTTTAATTCACCTACTTTATTTTCCAACACAAAATTAAGCTGTTTGAAAACAGAACAAAAGCATCTTGCAAGATGGGGAAAGGAAGCAAAAGTTTAGCTAAATGTTTTTTATTGCTAAATAAACTCGTGAATTAATTTGAATTACTTGGTGGTTTATATTTAAATTAATTTTCATTGGTTATCAGTAGCATGGAATGGTCTCAGCTCTTCCATGTGCTATAACCAAGCAGAACCATATATACTATATTTCTGAGTGTATATATATATATAAAATATATACTATATTTCTGAGTCAAGACCCTAGAAAGGGGTTAGTCTAATATACTTTTGATCCCGCCCACTAAAGTATATCTTTAAAGATCAGAATAAAAGCCAGAGATAGGGAAACACTTTCGGACAGAAAACATTTTTTTAAACATGGATATTTACATTTATGTCAGCTCTGACATAACTGTTAAAAACCAGTACATCTCCATCCACACATGAATATGAATTACTTGACCAAAAATCCCCCTAACTTCATTCCATGGTTTTGTTAGATTGAAGCATTTAATCTTTAAATTTTAAAATAAAGCATCCTATAAATCATTTAACTGAGCAGAGAAGTATGTTGTAAAATAAAATATACAAAAGAAATAAAACTAGAACAAAAACTGTTTGTTAAAGCTTAGGTATCTGTAGAGTATTAGTTCCAGTTCAGAAGTTTATATGTGGCAGATGGGGTCTTTTTTCCTCTACGTAGCTCTAAATTCGTGCACAAGAAGTCACACCATTGTACCCAGGTTAACTACAACATAAAAATAATTGACATTCATACAATAAGCTAAAACAGAACAGCAGACAACTAGTAGGTGTTGATGGTACACTTGCACAGGATAGCTTCAAATACCACAGGAACTGTGAGCACTTAATGGGAACTGAATACTCAACAGGAACTCCGAATACTTCATGCACTTACCTTATAGTCCCATACCGCCGTGCCACCATATGCAGATATCAAGAGCAGCATTGTTATGGCTATCTGAACTTCAGTTACATCAACTCTATGAAGGAAAAAAAGGGAAATTTAGATCAAGAAAAGATCTTTTTGCGATATCTGCAAGGTGGGCGAGGGGGGAAATAAAGTGATTAAATTATCTCCTTAAAAGTGCTTCAGATTGCATCAATGTGTATAGAACACGATTTTCCTCAACTCTATATGGCGGCGCACATCTTTGGTTAAGATTTAAAGTTAAACCTGTACTCCTTACCTAGAGCAAGCTACATATAATTTTAATAGGAGGAAAATCTTTAATGAATACACTGTTAAATTTTTGAGAATTTTGTATAAATTTACAGACTTGTTGCTGTGTAAACATCAAATCAAAGTTTAAGGTAAGCTTATAGTAAATGAAATCAAACATTTCCTTTAAAAACATATCATATACAAGCATGGACCGTGCAGGCTGGGACAGAAGGGATTGCTTTAAGCCATCGTATCATGAAAACTTGACAGATACAGCCTCCAAAACACAAGGGCAGTATTTTGAGGACTGAGACAGCAGAGAGCTAAGCATCTGTCCTGTTTTAGAGGATATATAATTGGTATCTTGCTTTTTATCCATAAAAACATTTGTAAAATAGGTGGCCTTGTATGCCCCCTAAAGTCTAGACTCTGTATTCTACCTTTTTTGTTCTCAGATAAGACAGCCAACTCTTTATTGCCGTATTTGATTGACAAAATGTTTTGAGAAGACCTGAATACATACAAAAAAAAAACCCCACACCTTAAGAAGAGGCTAAAGAATCGGTATTTTCAATAAAGCTTTAAAATAATTTAAAAAAAAAGTGCACATCTAAGGTACTGTTTATGCTGCCAAAGGTTTTCAGATATGTAGCTGATCTTTGTACTGAAGTTACCAGCAGTAAGTACTGAAGTTACCAACAGTGACAACGGATGTATAAGACATCACACTTCCTTAAGCAGTTCAAACAAATTTGCTGGTTTAAGGTACTACGACCAAAGTCAACATCTACAGTTACTTGATTAGCACATGAACTGTTTGCAGAGGAAACTATTTTTAAAGAGAGACAGGAGTCGTCTCTTGGCTAATGGAAATTATTTATCTGATCTCGATAACCGCAGTAACATTAAACTCTCCTCTTTAATCTGTTTCATCTGAAAGATACTGATAACACACAGTAAGTTTCGTCACAAGCTTCAGACTCTTAGAAGAGCCAAAGTTCAAGCTGCAACTAGACGATACGCCGAGGTGCTCATCACTGTCCAAAGCTGTCAGAAAGGGTAGTCCTCTCCTTCCTACACTGTCGTGCTCCCTGACTTGTACTTGCTGCAGCGCTCATCGGACTGCAAGGGGAACCGGTTTAGCTTGCGAGCCTTGTGTAGGTTTTTAATCTTCTGCCCATTTCATGAATTGGCTTGAAGTCAAGTGACAGAGTCTGTGCAGGGGGGAAAAGGGGACAGCGCTGCTCGGAGGAGGTTTTTCCCTCTCTACCAGGGATGAAGTGTCACATCTGCTCAGCCACTGCAGTAGCTGCACACTGAACTTGTTGGGTCACGTCATGCAAAAGCGTCTATGTGCAAGTGTTCAGCGTTCACGCTCTGTACTAGTATAACCTAGATTTCTAAGCTGTACTGCATTTGCTGTTGCTGGCAGCAGGAGGAGGCTCAAATTTGAAGTTGAGTCATTATGTGTGCCAGAGTACAGTACTTAATTTTACAGAGGCTCAGACTGTTGGTTGCAACACAGCCCAAATCCGAGTCCAAAGATTTTAATCAGACACTCGGCGGTATTCTGCATAACCTGACAGTGGCACAGCACCCAGCTGCTCTGATCCTTCCTGGCCATCAGC